TTTGGCAACACTTGGGAGATCTTTCCCATTAGGTAGGTTGTCCGGTGGTTAAAAAAAGCAGAGGAAAACCGCTCCTCTTGGCCTCCCTGTGCCGTACCCAAGCTCCTCTGTGTGCTGATCACTGTGCATGGAGTTCAGCCCCGAGCCTTGGGTGGTCACCGGAGCCGCGGTGATTCAGTGTGATGTTTAAAACTCACTGCGTCCTGCTTCAGAGAGACTCCAGCCACCTTCCCACCTCACCAGCCAGGCGGTCTGAACGGTTCCCTGGCTTGGCCTTCATCTGTCATTAAAAATAAAACTTCTGAGGCTTGTCAGGCTCGCTGCGCTGGGAAGTCCGGAGCGGTTATAGACACTTGTCCTGTTGGCAGTTTGGCCACCGCGGTCGTACACAGATACGAATCTGCTGTCACGGTTGTTGAGGTGGAGAAGTGTCCAGCTGGCTTTATTTTACGAGCGAAGAGAGCCGACGCGTGGGCAAGTGATGGGTAAGTGGATATAAATTAGCTCTGCCCTGGCACGTTCCCCAGAGCTGGTGGGACATCTTAGAGTTATCACTGGTGTGGTCCGACCGCGCAGATGACTCCCCGCCGAGCAAGAAGATGTGAATCCAGGAGGCTGGGATGTGCTGTGTTTGCTACCACGCTGCTTTTCCTCCTTCCCACGTGTTTCGGCAGGGAATGCTGATGCTGGCATCGCTTTGAAGAGCTGTGCTGCAGGAGAAAAGTCTCTTTTGAGGACCTCTCACCTAACCTACTGGCCAAGCTGGCTGCACTTTGAGCTCAGATAAGCAACAAGCCACCTCTTGAAGTGCCGCTTCTTGGATTGCAGATGGTTCCAGACTTGGAGGAAGAATCAGCAAGGGGTAGGGAAGGTTTTCTGGGGCTGCGGGCCAGCGTTGTGCGGCTGGGGCTGGGGACGGAGCCACGAGGAGGTCTCCAGCCCAGGTTGCTGATCCCTCTTATCTCCAGGTTTTGAGTCCTTTCTTCTTGAATACAACCTGACCTAGAGGAAGGTGTCCTTGCCCATGGCAGGGGGATTGGAACTGGATGATCTTTAAGGTTCCTTCCAATCCAGAAACCATTTTATGATTCTGTGGGGGCTGTACCCCTTTCCAAATCACAGTCCAGCTCTATAGGTGTAGTGGTAGGGGGGCAGTACCTCTCGCAGAAGCTTTCTACCTGCTGGCTCCACAGGATGACAAAGAGGTGCTTTTTTGCATTCCCAGATTATCCAGGTTTTTGAGCTCCTCCTCTTGGAGGAGAACTTGCTGGCGAAGCAGCTCTGGTGGTGCTTTCCAGCTGTATCCTTTAGCCAGCATCCTTCGAGATGTCGACATCAACATAAGTCTGAAATTCCTCCATTTATCCACCGTGGTTGTGCTCACCTGGAGGGCAGCGTTCAGCGATCGTCCAGCCGTGACACGCAATTCCCCGGAGCAACGGCTCTGACCCAGCTGCGAGTTGGTGCCGTGGATGCTCAGACTTACCCATGGTCAGTGCGTGAATGCGGTGAGAGAACTTCATTTTGTACTGGAATACGTCCAGATAAATGTTCCTGTGTTTGCAGCACGAAGGAAGACTGACAGCCAGTTAGCTGACTTTTCATGTAAAAATTCACTTCTTCAAAGATTTTGTCAACCCAAGGAGCGATTGCTCCAGGGCTGCTGCTGAAATACCGGCGGTTTTGAAGGTCAGCATCTGCATATTGGTCTCGGCGTCTTCCAGTATCGGAGCAGATGTGTCTGCTTGTGTAGCTCCATTGTGGATGTACAGGTTTGGGTTTTTTTCTTATCACCCAAAGGCTTTTTGTTCATACAGATTTAATGCAATTCTGCTTTACTTCCAAAGGCAATCCTGGATCTTGATGTCTTTGTATGGAAACGATGGACTGTGGCCGCTCCGCTGCTCAAATTCCACCTGAGCACTGGCTTTCCCAGCGTTCGGTGTGAATTTTGTTCTAAAATGTTAAATTGAGTCTTTACAGCCAGTCCAGCCCACAGAATCGCAGCTGCTCAGGCTGTGACCTCGGCTTCATGCTCCAGGCTGTGGCGAGAACCCAAAAGCAAGAGCCTGTCCCTCGGCACTCTTCATGGCACGCTCCCCTGGGGTTCTGCGCGGTGTATTAATCGGGATTCCAGACTACGGCAGGAAGTTGGCCCAGTCTTCGTGCTGGCTTGGGAGGGGTTTTTTTTAATCCTAGCTGCATCTTTAAATTGAAATTTCATTTTTTACATGGTAGTTTATGCTTGCTTTGCCTTTTGTATTTGTAAAAATAAATACAGAGCAAGTCAGGATTGTTGGAGCAACGTTAGTGCTTTATCGCTGCAGGTGGCTATGTTTCAAATAAAGGAGCAGAGCATAGTTGGAGCTTATTTCTAGGTCAGGAAAAGGAAAGATATGGACAGAGCTGCTCCCGGCCTGGGCGGTTTGTGTCTGTAGGCGATTGAGACCCGGGGGGACCTGGAAGAGTCGCAAAATGATGCGGCAGCAACTGAGGAAATGAGGAATGCGGGGAGAGGATGTTTGTGTTCGTTCTTGAACAACTGTTTCGTTTGGAAAGCTTGGGACCAAGGACAAGGTGAAAGAAGGGATTGTTCCTTGCCTGGGTGAACGCGAGGATGACGGAGAAGAATGACAAATTCTTGCAGCACAGGAGCTGCTTGAGCAGAGAAGCTCATCTCGTCTCTCGGGATGTCGAGTGCAGCTTAAATGCTGAAGAATGGGAATGAAGAATTGACCAGAACCTTCCAGGTGGGTTTCCAGCCCAGCCTTGTCCAACCAGCTGCAGGTGGCTGTGGTAGAAGGTCCTGGGAAATAGGTGAGATGATCAGAAAACCAAAATGAGAGAAGGCAGAGGGGTGCCTGCACCTAGTTGGGTTGAAAAGAGCTGGTCTGTGTCCCGGATACCAGAACAAAAAGTGTTTAATTCAGCAGGTCTGCACTTTACCATCCTATTCTTGTTACCTGGTGTCTTCCCTCGTCCTCTCTTCTGCTTTATCAAAACCTTAAATTCTCCCCCTGCCTCCCAGGAGAGAGACAGGATTTGGCGTCGGGATCGCTGCTCGCTGCAGCTCTCCAGTGCCGGCGTAATGGACCCGTGACCTGATTTAAACCTGCGAGAGCTGCCTTAACGTAAATATTTGATGGAACTACGGCTTCCCTTTTTAAGTCTGCTTCGGTTGGTTTTGTTTTCAAGCTAAATCATGGCAAGGTATTCCTGAAAGCCACTTGTTAGCGGGGAGTTGTTTATACAACTGAGGTTGTTCCGGCTTTCGGGCGTTGTTTCAGCCTATTTATGCAAAATCCGAGCAGTACGAGTAAACACGGAGTTATATTTGTGTCATAATACATGGAAAGAAAAGGAGTTAAATCCATATGTCAGCTCTTGACTCCAGATGGGAACCCTGCTGTCGCTCAAATCGCGATCGCTCCTTGTTTGGGCAGAGACGGTGCGTCCGCGCTGCTGCGGCATCTCGGCTGGAGAAGGGTGGGGAAGGTGGGGAATCTGCTGAACGGTAAACAGCAACGAGTTTCTACACTGCTTGGGCTGCTCTGGAAAGAAAACTTTGGTCTGTTTTGAGTCCTAGAAGGAGCTTTTTCAGTAGATTGAGTCAATATCCCAGACCTACATTTCTTACCCATTTTTATAAACGTTGTCAGAAGGCATAGTCGCTGTTAGATTTCTGCCTGTTGCAGGAGGGTGTGATTTCTTTGTAGGGCTTTGCAGGCTGCAGGATCACGGTACAACAGAGGAAAGATTTTATTGCAAGTTCTTAAAAAAAAAAAAAGAAAAAAGCAAGGCTAAGATCTGGAAGCAGCTTAAGCTGCGACTAAACCTAGGGTTGCAGCAGAGCCCAAATGGTTCGGCCAAGGCAGCAGAAGTGGATAGGAAGGAGAACTCGATCCGTTTGGCAGTGAAATAATTGGAAAACCAGTTTTGTACCCCTGCACTGTGTCCGTTCTGCACTGTCCATCCCACACCCCGGCATTTGGGTTCCTCCTCTGGAAAGGGAAGAGTTTGGAAGCTGGATTCTGCTTCCACTCACAGCCGTCGTGGCTTCACTTTGCTTTTGGGGTGGGTGTGCTTTACCTTCACGTGTAGAATTCCCTTAATCGCTTTATTTTATAATTTTCTGGGAGGAGAGGGGGGTGTTGTAGAATTCCCTTAATCGCTTTATTTTATTTTCTGGGAGGAGAGGGGGGTGGTTTTGAGGGTACCGTCTGCCTTGAACTCGGGGATAAAGCAAAGAGCTGGAAAACTCGGATTACCTCTGCTATCCCGTGCAGTCTTTAAACTCTGAGGCGGCGTCTTCCGCGATGCCGAAGTCTTGAAACCACAGGATTATTTTTTTTCTTTTAATAATTCAATTTGTGCTTCAGAACAAAGAAAGTGTTATCGAATCCAGAAGTCTGAAATGTGGACAAAGCCAGGATGAGCTTTCTCATTGTAGACCTCCTTTTCTAGGAGACCAGAGGTACCAGTGGATGAATTCATTGCTGTGTTGATGCGAAGGTTGAAGAATTAGCTGGGTCCGCAGCCGTCTCTGCCCTGGAATGGCTTAAAAATACAGATTAATGTCGTGACTTGGAGTTCATAGAAAATCTTTGTCAGGAGACATTTAAAAAAAAAAATCTTAAGGCAAATGTTGAGCTTAAATTTTGTGTTGAGAGTTGATTGAAAAGATCCTCGCGGCTTTTAAAAACCCTCCATCAGATGTGGGTGCTCGGTTCAAGAGAATACCGAGCCACAAAACCTTTGCGGTATGGTTGCGCTGTGAGCAGAGGATTTTGCTGAATTTCGAGGGAACGGCCGAGGACCCTGGGGTCAGAACGTTGCCTGCGTATTTTAAAGGTTACACAGCTATATCTAGCTGAGGCTGGGCTTTCTTTGAATCTAGTCAGATGAGTTTGTTTGGTAAATTCCAGATTTCTCTTGTTAAAACAAAACAAACCCAACACCTTGGATTGTTTTCTGCTATTTACCAGTGTGTCTCTTTGCAGGATTCATGAATAAAATTTTCCATCCCAACATTGACGAAGCGTAAGTAAATCCTTAGCATGTGGTTTGGTTTTTTTTTTTTCCTAAGGAGTTTGTCTAATTGTAACGTATTTTGGCTTTACAATAACATGCTGATGAGTTGAGTGATGCTTTCATCCACCTAACAGTCCAGAGTGGAGAATTTGGTAGATGTAGATGTTGTCACAACTTCTAGGAGGGGATCAGACTAGAAAGCTGCACGCTGCAGACTCTCTTGGAGACGTGGTCCTTGTGTGGCAACATGCTTCGTTTCGAGAAAATTCAAGGTTGCCCGTCCCCCTCCCCTCCTCGCTGGCATCACACCGGCTTTCTATCAACAAGGAGCAGCCGCTGGCTAAGCCAGAGCTCCCTCTTTAGCTGAAGTTCACGTCTGTACTAAAATTCTTCAAAATGTAAGATATTTTGGCACTTTTTTTCAGTTTAAGTGTGTGAAGGGGAGCCACCTATGCTTCAGTCTCTCCAGCAGAGCCCCACACAGACCAACGAATTCGATAACGGCTCCAATTTATTTTCTGTTGTGCAGAGGATGAAGTTTTATGTAGCTAAAGGCTGTCCCTCTGTTAACCACAAGACAGGACTAAATCGTGGCTTATCTGAAGCGGTGGGGCAGAGGCAGGGCAGGGGAAGGGAGGGGATAGATTAGATTCAATCCTCAGAGTATTCCTGAGTGTTGACTGTGTTTAATCCCATCCTTTCCATATGTTTCAGGTCAGGAACTGTATGTCTAGATGTAATCAATCAAACTTGGACAGCTCTCTACGGTGAGTTTGGCATTTTCCCGAAAGCGGATCACACGAGCATCCCCACTCGGTGTGTTAACGGAACACAGCTTGCTGGAGATGGATGATCTTAGGCCAACTTTTTTTTTTTTTAACTGAAGTTTTAGACTCCTCGCTGAGCCAAGATCTCATGAAAAATAAGATTTTCATGTGAAAATACTTCAGTAACTTATTTTTAATGCTAGAGAGGTGAAAAAATCCCCTAAACCTCCCAAAGGATCACTCAATCCATCACTTAGCAGCGGCTGGCAACTGCACAGCAGCACCCAGCCGTGATTCAGCATTAAAAGAGAGGAGTGACTGTATCTACGGTGAAACGTAGTTCCAGCTACCCCATCCACGTTTTGTACCAGCCGCTATGCTTTGTGCACAAGGCTGTGATCCCAGTTCTGCAGAAAACGGCACCAGAAACCGCTCCGGTTTGTCGTGGCAGCATCGTGTCGTTGCGGGCTGGGAGGTGGTGGTGCATCTAATGACTGCAGCGCTTGCTGCAAAACGTTTGGGTTTCCCATCAGGTTGTGTCTGGCTATAACTCCATTTTAAAGATTAAAAAAAGGTTAGCTGGCAGCTGAAGACCCATTAAAATAACATTTAGGGAGAGCTGAAGTTGTTCAAAGGAATACCGTTGAGTATCTAGTCCAGGTTGGCTGCATTTTAAAAATGTTGAATGTCTTCAGATGTTCCAGTTACACTTCGTGGAAAGGTATTCAGGGGAATGTGCTCATCAAATCCTTCACGTCCTTCCACGAAAAACTAATTTTACTTACGTGAGTTGAAGCTTTGAAGCAGTTGCTAGAGAGAAAAGCTACTTCAGCTTCCTCGTGAGCACGATTTGTAAGGAAAATGCCGGAGTTGGTGAATCCTGGGAGGGGAAATTGCTACAGCAGCTTGTTGAACTCAACTCCTCATCAGAATGCTCGGCGTCCTCGGGTAGTAGTTGCACGGCTTACACCTCGCGTAGCTTTGTTGTGAGAGATGGGCTTAGCCATGACCCAGGTGGTGTTGCTGAGGGAGGAAGAGGATGCTTTTGTGTCCTGGGAAGATCTGATGCGAGGCGGAGGAATTAAAGAGGTGTTAGCAAAGCCATCCCGCCGCTGGGGGATGAACCTGCCTGGTTCAATCTGCGGCAAAATCCAGCTCAGTGCAGCGGGTGCTGCTATTCCACAGCCTTAAATGCCACCCGCAGATTGTGGGGGTGGCTGAACAAAAGAAAATCACCCCGGTGTAACTGCGGTGCTGGGTTTTGCTTTGGAAGCCGTGCGTGGATAGCCTCCTTCTTCTGCAGCATGCTCTCACAAAGGGCCACAGTGGGGTTTCTGCACTATTTCCAAACAATTTCAGAGGAAGACTTTCTGTGAGAGGTTTCCTAATGAGCACTGCTGTATTTTTGTCATCATTGTTGCTCGTAAAGGTAGAAAAACCAGCTTGGGATTTAGTATGCTTGTGATGCATTTAATATCAGCAAGCTCGCAAATTTTTTTGCATTTTCCGTGTGATATCAGTGATAGGCAACTCGAAGGTATCAGGGGTGTATTCTTCCATAGTGACTGGTGAAACTCAGTGTTAGAAAGTGCATCCAGAGGCGGTCCATTTCTGAACGTGCAAAAAAAGGGGGGAAATAATATTCCCGGGTGCCTCTCAGCACAGCTGCGTCGTTTGGAGTGTCACCCCTTTAAACCAGAGCTCTCCCATGCCAGCAGAGGAGATGGGTCAGATAATTCAAGAAGCAACGAAGGTGGAAGAGACCCAGAATAGCTCCCAATAAATTAGTGAGAACCTCGTGGTTAAATTCCCTCTCCTTCCCTAACGAAGTATCAAGTCCATAGTGCTGTGGTTAGGCTTCCCGTACATGTTCAACTGGTTAAGCTGCTGCTTTGGGGGATTTGAAAGAAGGGGGAAATTACTGTGGTCTCTTAAAACAAAACAAAAATCCCTGCAGTGTGCTGTGAGCTGTGGTGGCCTTCCAGGGCTCTGCGTGCTCCACCTACAGAAGAGTTTAGTTGTCTAACGGCCACAAAGAAATACTTGATCTGAGCCTGCTCCGTGGAGGGACTTGACCCAACTTCTTGCTGATAGACCCAATCCCTAGGAGGGTTAATTGGTTTACCAAGGACAAGCCACTACCATTGCCAAAAATATCCTTCCAGAGCATTCTCACTGGGTTTTGTGGTCCCTTTTTGGATGAGGATCCTTCTTCCAGTTGGATGTGTTGATGCAGGAGGGAAGAACTGAAAAAAATGTCAAATCTTTGATCCTCTTGAGCAAGGTCTGAAAGCACACCCGTTGGTAGATCTGCAGAGGTGGTAACATGGGGAAGGTCTCCCTGGACCTGCTGTGGAGCTCTTCTGAGGCTGTGTCTTTGGTGGCGATGGAGTTACAGCCTGGTTTTCTCAGGCTCCAGCCCAGAGTAACACAGGGAGAGCACTTGAAGATCTTTAAGCTGAAATTTAGATTGGATATTAGGAGGAGCATGGTGAGGCAGTGGCCCAGGGTGCCCAGAGAAGCTGTGGATGCCCCATCCCTGGAGGGGTTCAAGGCCAGGCTGGATGAGGCTTTGGGCAACCTGGGCTGGTGGGAGGTGTCCCTGCCCATGGCAGGGGGTGGCACTGGGTGGGCTTTAAGGTCCCTTCCCACCCAAACCATTCTATGATCTCTCCCCCCGACCTGCCCAGCCATTTTGATGAATCTTTCAGGAAGTTTAGGGCTCTGAGGTCCCTGCCCTCTTTCAGATCTGGTTGAATTTAGCTCCGTGAGGCTCAACGGTGGCTGGGCTCAGGATTTGTCTTCCTGTAAGATGCAGGTTGAGATGCTGAACTGCTCAGCTGGTGGATCCTGGGGAGTGTTGGGCATTCCTTCCAACAGCTCCGCTTTGATCGACTCTAGAGGGGACGGGTGATGCTCATCCACAGGCAGGATTTCTGTTCCACCAGCAAAGAGACACTTTTATTAGGAACGGGAGATTCTGGTTAAAAATGTGTAGAATATTCCCAAAAAACCCCACGTGATGAATGCTGCTCTGCCTCCTATCAGCATCTCTCCGGCGGCTAAAGCAAACCCTGGAGCACGCCGCTGCGCTGGGGTTTCGTCTGCGCTCTGCGTGGGTGCACGAGGTCCTTCCGAAGCCCCCGAGGAGAAGCGATGACCCAGGGCTTGTTGCTGAACACCCCCACAGTGTGGTCCTTATCGTCTGAGGGGTGTGGGAAGAGGGTCTCACGTATCCACAATTACTCATTGGCACCAGAAGTTTGTTTCCTGCCGTGGACTGTTTGGTGACAGATGCCAACCAGCACCAAGGTGTTAATGGGAACTCTTCGCGTTCTGCAAATTGTGTTGAGTTGGAGGAAGGACTTGGTGGATGCTCTTTCTATTAACACAGTCATCTCAAGCACTTTGGAAGATGCTCTGTGCTTGAGAGCGGTCAATTTAGACATGGAGCACAAGACATTTAAAGATGGTAATAGAAGGAGGCAGAAGTAAAAGAATTCAGTGAGCGCAGTGCTTTGTTTTTCTTTTTTTCCTTTTTTTTTTTAAGCCAGGGTTGAACCTCAGTGGGAAACAAGACAGTTGTGTCCTTCCACCTCTTTGTTTAACCCACTGATACTTGTATCTACGTTGTTGGGAAGCCAAGTAGCTTGTGCAGTTATCTGAGGAGCTTACCAGCCGTGGATCTGCTTTCCCTGATCCCGTTTCCTTTATTTATACTTGTGCCCAGATTTCCAGTGCATTTGCCCTTGAAGCTTTGCGCTGTTGTTTCAGTGCCGGTGCTTGCAGGATGATTAATCGGACAAACCCTGGGTCAGCGGACATAAAAAAATAGTTTCTTTTACTTGCAGATCTCACCAATATATTTGAATCGTTCCTGCCCCAGCTGCTGGCGTATCCAAACCCTATAGATCCTCTAAATGGCGACGCTGCAGCCATGTACCTCCACCGACCAGAAGAGTACAAACAGAAAATTAAAGGTAAAGGTTTAAATAACGTTAAATATTATAGAAGGAGTGGTGTTGCTGTGATTCCACCCTGGGGGAACGGGGACTGTCTTTGCTGCACGTCTGTGTGTCAGTGCCTGTTCTTCCCACTCCTTCCCCGTCAATTTTAAATAGTCTGAAGTAAGGGGTGGATGAACTGTTGCTGCTCAAAGACTAAAACTGGTGTGTGCAGTATGTGGGGCAGGGTTTTTAAATCATGAGCAGACCCACAGCAAGGAAGGCTGTGAGCAACTCGGGATTCAACACAATTTTGAGAGACTGGAGAAACAATTAGGAAGAAAAAATGTGCAACCAAAGAATCATAGAACGGTTAGGGCTGGAAAGGACCTCAAAGATCATTGAGTTCCAACCCCCCTGCCACGGGGCAGGGACAAGAAGGGACGAGGAAAAGCATTAAACTTAAACAGGAGCATCCAGTCGCACAATTACTGGATGGAAAGTGGCTCGTTAGCGGTTCTGCGGAAGGGGAGGTGAGAGCAGCAATCAAGGAATGGGTGATGCTGTTGCAGACAGCACTTCTGTACTGCGAGAGAGCAGGAATTCTCCGTAAATGCCAAGGAATTGTTCCTTGCTACTTCTTGGTAAGCCAAGGCTTACTGGTCCCAGTTCAGGGACTGCCATTTGAGAAAGCTGCAGACCAGCCAGTGATGTCTCGAAGGGTGTAGCAAGGGCAGATGGTCTTGAAGATGTGTCTTAAGAGGAGAGGTGGAAAGAATTGGATAATCTGTAGAGGACCGGATGGAGTTATGAGCTTTGATGTGTCAAAGGTGCCTTCAGAGAGGAAGGGAATGGTTTATCCTGGGATCAGAGCGAGCAGGATGTGGTCGCAGATGTGGAACTCAGCTGGGGAAGCTCAGGGTCAGTATTAACTGGGAAGGGTAGGGGAGCACTGGCGGAGCTGGTGAGGGTGCTGGTGTGTCTGTTCCTGGAAGGGTTGGAAGGACACGTTAGACAAGGCTGAGAAATAGAGTCAGTACCTCCTCAGGATCAGCAAAGGCTCCAAATAAGGACTTTCAAACACTTTGGATAAGGCTGGTGAAAGAAGGGCTGTCCTAGCAAACTGGTAAATGAGACACCAATTGAATTAGTTTGGCAAACATAAGAAAAAAAGATTTAAAAAATAAGAATTGTGCTTTAAATTTGTGCTCTGCCTGCCCTAGAATCAGCTGCGTGCAGCCAGGAGCAGGGCACCGATTCCTGATGCAACAGGACCACGGCAAAGCCACGGATTTTATTTCTCCCATTTAATCCAGTGGTGGGAGACTTACAGCCTTTGGCCCAGATTTGGTCTTCAACTAAGTTTTTAAGAGACCATGACCACCTGTTTGGTTTTTTTTATTCTTTTTTTTTTGGTTACTGAATAACCATAGGACTTGTTTGTCCATGGGAGCCCTGCCAGAAAGGTTTGCAGGGCTTGTTCAACAAGGAGAGCAACCTCCAC